GAATTTCTTTGAGGTTTACCTTTCTCCCACTAGTGATTGCAGAGAGAAACTCCTTCTCAAGGAAGGTTCCATTCCGAGCAAAGAAGATTTTGTTATCGGGTGGATGATAGAACTCATACCCTCTTGTTTCCTTGGGGTATCCCACAAAAATTAGTTTATCATATTTAGGCTCCAACTTCCTAGACGTCATGAGACGTTTAGCATTAGATTCACAGCCCAAAATCTTGTGTACTCTCGACAACTTTAGATGGAACTCTGTTGAGTGTGTGTGCTGCTGTTTTCAATGCATATCCCCAAAATGATTCTGGCAATGTTGTCAGACTAATCATGCTCCAGACCATGTCAAGCAAAGTCTGATTTCTCTTCTCAGACACTCCATTTATCTGAGGTGTCCTCAGAGGAGTAAGTTGGGATAAGATCCTATGCTCTTTCAGATAGTCATCGAACTCCAGGCTTAGGTATTCACCTCCTCGATCCGAGCGGAGGGTCTTTATACTTTTGCCTAATTGTTTTTCTACTTCGTTCTTAAATTCTTTGCATTTGTCAAAGCATTCCAATTTGTGTTTCATGCGATACACATATCCATATCTACTAAGGTCGTCAGTTAATGTAACGAAGTAAGAATAACCACTTCTAGCTACAGTGCTAACCGGACCACACACATCAGAGTGTATGAGCCCAATAACTCACTCGCCCTTTCACCGTGACAAGTGAAGGGATATTTTGTCATTTTACCAAGTAAACAAGATTTACATACATCATATGACTCGAAGTCAAATGAATCAAGTACACCTGAGCGATGTAACTTAGATATGTGTTTCTCGTTAATGTGGCCCAAATGACAATGCCAAAGGTACGCGAGTGTAACACGCCAACCCGCGTAACCCAAACTAACGAGTTAGCGAGTCGGGTTGCTACTGATTCAGTATTCACATGCATAATATTTTAAAACATTTAATAATAAAATATCAATTCACATTTATTTAGAAATAATTCATAATTAATCGGAGTATATAATTCAAACGTTGCAGAAGCCTTTAAAACAACATCGTCAAACATTCTTGTAGTTTAAACAAAATAAAAGTCAACAAGTATTTAATTCAATTTCAAACAACTCCGGGCCATCCACCAACGTCACGCTTCACTGTCCTCTAGGCTGCTCCTCATCCAATCCTTGATCCCTACCTATGAAAATAGGGAGAGTGGAAGTATCTAACGCTAGAACTAACTCATAAACTAGCACCCAATAATATACAATCACACAATATCAGAAGAATCAGCAAATATCATTATCGAATACCATGATGAACTTTTTTATTTATTTATATCCAGTTCTTGATGTTCTTCTGCACTTAACCCTAGAGGCTAAGGTTCCTTTTGACTAACTATGTCATGGACACTCAGACGGATCCCCCGAGGCCATGCTTGATGAAACCGAAAGAGAATCCTCAATGGGCGGGTTGGAGCCCCTACAAAGGAATCCCTAGGTAGGCTAATGACTCCCGTACGTACGTTTTTAACCCAAGACCTGTGAGTTATGCGAAGCTCGCCCCACAAGGCCTAAATCCTAAATCTTAATCCTTATATGTTCAGTTTAACTCAGACCTTCTTATTTCCATAATCCAATTTAATCACATAATTATCCTTACTCAATTCATTAGTTTAAACAATGCATTAGATTAATTTATAGTCTTTATTCATATTTTAGAGGCATAATATAGAAAAGGGCCTAATTGTAAGGGATTTGAGGTGCATGGGGTCAAATTGGAATATGAGGAGCTACATGTTCCCCAATTGGAACGATTAAATCTGCAATCTCCTCCTTGCGACTAGGCCAGGCGAACAGCGCAAGTCGGCAAAACTAGGAGAGAACCAGCGCGCGGCCGGCGACCCTCGTAGCGGCGGCGAACAGTTCCGGCGGCATCAATCCCCAGCACAAGTGGCAGCGAGCAGACAATCGAGCAGAGCAGGCGAAAGAAACAGAGCAGAGAAGACCGTGAGCAGAGCAGACGAGGAAGATAAACATGGCATATTCAAAACTATCCGAATTCGATTTACGTCCCAACAAAATCCAATCAAACAATTCAATAATCATAGCCACAAATTCAACATCAATTGCACGAGAATATATCAAAGAATACTAATGTACGAATCAATTCTAACGGGAGATAATTCACTCACCTTGAATCAAATTGACGAAGAGTGACAAACGATTGACACAATCTCCGGCGGAATACTCCGGCGAACTCTCTCCGACCTGGGACCTCTAGTTTGGCCTGCCCGCAGCGAAGAGACGAAGAAGAAACTCGATTGCCGTGTTGTGCAGCGAGTTTTCCCACAAACCCTAGTATATGATATATGCGTATATATACTTAGAGGCAGTTGGGCCAGGCAATGCTAATACTCCGTATTCAATGTGGAGAAATATTATGTATTTAATATTTATTATTAATATTATATTATAAAATCCTTTTCTTTATTTATTGAACTGTAAGTCTATTTTACTTTTCACGTTTTACACATAAGTCCAAATTTAACAAACTATATACCGTTCGTCACCATTTTACGAGGTCTACCCGAAAATCTAATTTTTAACTAAAATGGTCAACTTTACAAATACTTCATATTTTGAAGTCAATAAATAATCTATTTATTTTTATTAAAATAACAGCTAACTACTAAGCCTGTTTTCAGGGTGTTACAGCGAGATTCAAACCGTTAGGTTTGTTTCTCTTAACATCTATGCTATATATTGCAGTATCCATGTCAAGGACATAGTGACCATGGGTCATTTTTTCAGTTGCATAAAATATATCATTTCTAAAGACAGAAAGCGTTGTCAAGGTAAGATACAGAAATGATGTTTCTACTCATACTAGGTACAAACAGACAATTATTTAATTGCAATACAAGACCACTAGATAGAGATAAACTATAGGTTCCAACGACTAATGCATATACGAGTGCGCCATTGCCGACTTTTAGTTGTAACTCTCCCTCCGTCAACTGTCTACATTCAAGCAGATTCTACATAGAAGTACAGATGTGAGAACCAGATCCAGTATCCATCACCCAAGAGGTGATATCAAACATATTGGCTTCAATAACAAAGATACCTGAGGTTTGAGATTTCTTTCCCTCTTTCCTCTCTGCCAATAATTTTGCACAGTTGCGCCTCTAGTGGCCCTTTTTGTCACAATAATAGCATAAACAGACTTCTTCTTAGCTCCTTCTTTGAGCTAGCATGAGACATCTCACATCGCGTGCATCATCTTCATACTTACGGTACAAAGTAATTTTTGCAGCAGAGGTAAGGACGTAGAGCTTTTTCTCGCATTCGAGAACAATCTTAAGATTCATCTCCCAATCAAGAAAGTTGGTTCCAGATAATTTTTCCTTTTCTAGAACATATCGCAGGTTGAAAGGATTGTTGTTGTTGTTTGCCATCTACAGAAAATTTTGCAAACTAGGTTATCTAGCATGTTTAATAATTAATTAGGCCTTTAATTTATTATCTCCCACTATTTTTAACGAACCAATAACCCTCTATATTGATTCGGAGATTTCTGGAAAAACCTCTAGTGGGCCAAGATCCATATTTCATTATCTTGTGTTTCGTTTGGGCATTACTCCGTAAGACAAATATTTAGGTAGGAACATAGTTCCAACTGATGAGCCGAGCTCGCAGCTCTTGGTCTGGTGTTGGGCGAACAATATTACTACAACCGGACAAAGACACCTTTTCACCATACTTGTACGCGTAATTGGTTGAGGCACGTCTTACAAGCATACTACTTTGGTTAAGAACAAAGTTCAAATTAAATCATAAAGATCCAACTCCAGGCGGGATGAGTGAGTAAAATCATCCAGCTTGCCATTGATGACCCCAACCAACTGCCTTTGAGTCGTCCATCCATTTGACTGAGACTCAGTTGGGGTCTAACCCAACGTGCAACAATGACCAATACCATGCTATGGTGGTTCCCGTAACTAGAGGTGGCAATCGGGTCAACCGGATCGGTTTCGGGTTGGAGTTTTTCGGTTCGGATATCTTTCGGATATATGTTATAATCGTTTCGGTTTGGATCCGATCGGTTAAATTTCGGTTCGGATTTGATTCGGTTCTATACATTTTTCGGTTCGGTTCGGTTTCAAGTCGGTTTAGATACGGTTCGATTATAAATCGGGTCGGATAGATTTCGGTTCGGATACAATTTGAATCGAATATATTTCGGTTTCGGGTCTAGTTAAGTTCGGATATATTTCGGTTTCAGATCAAATATATTTTGGATATATATTATTTTCTAATTAAAATTTAACTATCCATGTTTCTTTTTATGTTTTATCACATTTATCAATATATCGTCAATTCAATACCTCATATTATTTTATATTTTTTTCTAATTATATTATCTCTACCCTAAATAATCTTCCTTTTTTGACTTTTTAGTCATATTTTACAAATTTGGACTATAAATTATGAAATCATATATATTTAATTATGATATAAATTTAATATAATTAAATTGATTTTAAAATTTAGTTTTGATATATCAAATTTTTCTCACATCTACTAATATACTTATGCTTATAAATGAAAAGATAAAAGATAAATTCAAATAGTGTTATGTTCCATTTGAATACAATTTGGTAAAAATTGAGTAAAATTGGGTGAAATTAAGTGAATTTTATTCAATTGAGTGCAAAATTTATAAATTATTGAGTGTATTTGGTTGAAAATATATAAAATTATTGAGTGTACTTGTAGTTATGTTGAGAAACTTGTTTATTCTTCATAACTTGTGATCAATGATCTTGTTATGACCCACAATATTTGCCTTAACACAGTTTTGTCTTTTTAATTGCATGATAAAATTTGAGGTCAATATATATGCATGTTTTTAGTGAAATCATGTGTAAGGTGGTCAATTGATATAATGCTTGCAGTACCAGTTGTTTTCCGCTCTGTTGTTTCTCCCTCATTGGTTCATTTCTTTCAGGAAATTTATTCTCAAATGTTTTCCTATTCTTCCACAAACAGAGGGTGCACAATATAGTTAAAAGAATGGGTTGGACAAAAGGTAAAATCTGCAGGAAAACAATAAGAATGAGCTAGAGATATTAGAAAAGCAGAGGCATGATGATTTCTTGAGCATGTTGAGGGGATATATTGTTAATCAGGTATCTTTTCTTCATTTATTGTTTCTCTAGTCTTTCCACATAAAGTGCGAGGTTGTGAGTGATGGCTAGAACTTTCTCTCCCTAGGCATGGGTCCGTGGTGGGGTTCTTTGTAACACTACTTTCCTTGAACCCCTAGGGTTTCCATTACCTTTTATTGTGGTAACTATTGTAGAATCTCATGTGCATAACTTGTTTATAATGGCAATTTTAACTTAAATGTTCTTTGTTATATGTGCCTCTAAATTAAGGTGTATTGTGGTTTGTGACTATCAAACTTCTATTTGCTTAACTTATAAAGGTTTATAGATGTAGAAATTTGAAGGAGATGCAATGGGATAAAGCCAGATGCTGATTATGTTGTGGAGGTTGCTGTATCTTCACTGAAAACAACAAAATTGGTGCAAACTTAAAGGTTGGTGCTAATAAGCTTATGAGGATTGGAATTTCAATTGTGATATGGTTCTTTTTTATTTTAACAAAGGGGCTTGGCTATTGCTTGGCTGTTGGATGGAAGACTTTCGTTTAACTACTTGGCAGCTTGTTTATAGATCTTGTTCTAAATATTCTGTCTACACTTCTATTTTCAGGAGAATGCTTTATGGTTTTAGAGTGTGGTGATGGTAGCTAGGCTAATGCTTGTGAGTATTAAGACTGGGTTTAGGCCTTTGGTTTTCTAGTTTCTATCCTCCAGGACTTTGGTCATGCACTTGGTCTTCAACTTCGCAGGGTTTCCAGGGTGTTTCTGCAATAAAGGGGCTAATCCAGATCATTTTAATGGTGCTTAGTAATGGTATATGGTCTAAAAATTCAGCTACACTTTGTACATCCATCTTTGAAGCAAGGAGACATGTCGGGGGATCATTTGGACCATTGTGATTGCAACATATTTGGGAAGATAAAATGAACATCGTCTTTCTTTTCATGCCAATCAACTGGATAAAAGCTTATGAAGGGTGCCATACTGTCACTTTAATTTCGTTTGTACTTATTTTTGTTCATTTTGGAATTTCCTTAGCTAGCGTGTGTTTTGTTGTTATTGAGACTCCAATAGTACACAATTGTATTGAGGGTCTTCCCCTCTTTTCTTTTATTAAATAAGTGTTCTTTGTTATTAATATTGAGCATAAATTACATATACAGATACACACACACACACACACACATATCCGTTGAGTAAAGTTTACACATCAGATGATTATTCGTTGTATAAAGTAAAAAACAAGCGCTGCCTATGTAGCCGATGGGAAAGCCATCATGTTTACTCATCGGAAATTTATGCGATGTGTAAAGTTTACACATCGGGTAAATATTCGCTGTGTAAAGTTTGCACATCGGAAGAATATCCACTGTGTAAACAAGGGAGCTTTCCCATCGGTTGCATAGGTAGCGCCTCTTTTGCGATGGGAAATGCCTTATTTATCCGATGTGTAAAGCCCCTTTTATAGTAGCGGGTGTAGATCAAATTTGAAAATGATAACACTAAATGTTACCGCTAGAGAGTATTTTCAAAATGCTAACACTACAATCTAATTTTATTGACTAATATTGAGTGAATTGGTTTGAAACTAATCAAATTAACTCTTAAATCAATAAAATATATTTTAATTGGATGAAATTAGGATAAAATATAGTTATTCCATACAATTCATCATATCATCCTTTCTTCCCAAAAAGAATATCACACTTCACTATTTAAATTTTACGGGAATTTTGTTTGTCTGTGCGTTATCATTTATATGTATAACTTATCTTTAATTTCTAAATATAATGAATTTAAGGCATGAAATTTTGTACTTTTTTTCCAAGAAGATAATCCATTTTATGAGGGAATGAGCAAGCAATGTAATTAATTCAAATGGTAAAATAAAAGTAAAAATATAAAAATATAATATGCTTATTGAAAGGCAAACATAGTTCCGAATTTATCAGTTTTAGTTCTAATCGGGTTCGGATATTATCGGTTTAGGATCTAATCGGTTTCGAGTTTTATCGGTTTCGAGTATTATCGGTTACGGTTCTAATTGGTTTCGGGTTTAATCGGTTCAGATATTATTGGTTTCGGATCTAATCGGTTTTAGATTTAAATCAGATATGAAATATTTAGTTCGGTTTCGGTTCGATTCGGATCATTTTGGGTTTTCGATTATAGATCGGATCTTCATTTTTTGGATCATTACGGTTTCGGTTTCGGATATTTAAGTTCGGGTTATTGGTTCCGGTTTTGTTTTGCCAGGTCTACCCGTAACCAGCTTAACATACATTGTACTATGCTTTGTGGAGGCTGAGTACATGACATTGCACATTAGCCGGATAGGTGCCAGACGTCAGAAGGCAATAGACTTAATATTCGTGAGGGATTTAATTTTAATTACGATCTCACCTACGACACATGTTGCGCACGTGTTAATTTATTACTGTTTAAAATTCACATGCATTCAAAATACGTAGTGAATAAATGTGTAATGATTGTGGCCCCAAAAAGAAAAATAAAATGATAGCTCCCACTGACTTCCGGGCACTTGGACTTTGGGCTATCTCCATTCCTTTATATTTCCTCAAACAGACTTCAAATCTTTTTGTCTTCTAACCATCAAGTGAGAAAAGAATCCTCGGTTGAGGTACGAGAGAGAAATAGATTCACAACAAGAGTTTAAGAGATAAGGCACGACACGCAGACCGTATTATAATCAAATAAACTATAGCCACAATCATCCACCATGCATATCATACATCAACACAGGCAATAGAGATATAGAAATAGCGGGTGAGCCCCAGACAATCCTAGAAAAAATACTACAGTAGTAAATATTTTCTAAAACTCATAAAATTAATATAAATGTCCAAATAAATCTAATAAAATTTTATAAAAATCATTTTATATACTCTTGATATTAGGTTAGAAAAAACAAAATTCTAAAATATTCCAAATGACAAAAATTCCCTTTTGCAAAATTATTTTCAAAAAAGGCAATAAAAATTCGAAACAAATTCGCAAAAATCATGAAAATTAAATTTAAACTTCCAGTAACTATTTTAGACATTTATAATTCTAGAAAATAAATTTCCAGAATTTATAAATATTTATTTCCCAAATATATTAATTATAGCTCAATAATTGCAAAAAACAATTTAAAATACTTTTTTTTTTAAAAATTAAATTATAAAATTTAATATTTTTAAAAAATTAAAATTATTTATTACTGATATATAATTTCCAACCATTTTTCAATTAAATATATATAAATTTATTTATATTACTCGGTAATATATATATATATATATATATATATATATATATATATATATATACCGAAATAAATATATAATTAATTACTAATTAATACTATTTTGTCCAATATATTTATGAACAACTTTATTTCACCAAGAAATAATATTTCTAAGTTTTGTAAAGTTCATTTTTAATTTTTCAATATTTATTTTTTGTTTTCACCTAAATAAATACAATAAATTCAAAATAGAAAATAATGCATTCAAAAATTACAATATAATTTTATCCAAATTATATTATCCAAAATAGAAAATAATGCATTTTTGTTTGTCCAAAATTATATTTACTATTTATACAATATACATAAATATATATTTTGAATAATCAAAATAAATACATTTATATATATTAATGTAGAAATAAACAAATGTTTAAAAAAAATTATTTCCAATTATTTTTAAGTCCAATATTTATTCCAAGACTAAAAAAACCATTTTACCAATTCTTGAATTTTAATAATTACCAAGTTCAAATTTTGACTTTTAAAAATTAAAAAGTCAAACTTAAAACTATATTTTTGTACGTTGACTCTAATACCACTGAAAGGTAACCATGCAAGGATAGGCAGCGGAATACAAAATTTTAACATCTTAACATGATTATCTTGCCTAGAACCAAGTACTAAAACTTATAGTAAGTAAGAAATTTATACGTTTCTCCGGAAGCGGTAAAACGATGAAGTTATAAGAAGAGCGTTGAAGGTGCAAACATAACTGTTCAAGCGTCCGGTGTCCAACTTTGACACACGAACAACGCCGGAGTCTACCACAATCTTTATGCTAGTAAAGATTGTTAGTATAAAATATAAAGATTAAAATTGTGATAATAATCTTGTATATTTCTATAGAAAATATTTCTAATAATATTTATAAAAATGTTATAGATATTTTCTATCCGCAAAATGATATTAATGGAACCCCAAACAATCACTTTCTCTCTCTTAAAATGAATATCCTAATTTTTCTCCCCCTTTGATGAATGTGGCGTGGAGGAGTATTTAACAAATCCAAAGGTGTGTAATTAATTTGTCATTATCTAAATGACAAAACAATTAGCCCACTCAAAATCCAATCAAAGAAAAATTTCTCCTTTAAAATCTCTTATGGCCGTATGTTTTGATTTGTGAAAGTGATAAGGATTTTCAAAATTCTTCTCCACTAAAATGTTCAAAACGTATTTTATTTGACACCAAAAAATAATATAAAATTAATTTTAAATCAAATAAAAATACCAATATCATTTTTAAACAAGTATATAAATATACTTTAAAAAGTTTATGTCAAAATAATTATTTTCATAATTAAAATGACAAACCAAAATAAATTACCGAATGTTTTACATATATATAATATTATATTCCAAAATATTTTATTTTACTATTTTTACAAATATACAAATGACTTAATATCTCATTATTTAATCTTACTCCTTAAATTGTCTAAAGTGTGTGACCCGTATATGCACTTATAAAGCTGGCCATAGTATTAACTCTGCACCAATACTATAAGCAGTAAGCGGTATCTAGCAAAACATTATTGCCCCCAAATTATAAGTTAAGACGTTTGCACCGTCAAAACCTTTCCACGATTCAGACTCCGTGTAACCGTATCCTTTTGTCTCAATGTCTAGACTTAATGCACGGGATTAATAAAATCCAGCTTGTATCCATTAAGTCATTTTCACTGATTTATCAAGTCTGACTAATAGGAACATACGTCATGAAAGCATCTAAGCATGGTCATGCAATTTCCTCAGTCATAACTTATCAGTGGGCCCAACAAGACAGTAATCTCTTAAAAAGAGTAGTGACAAATCCTATGTACGTAATCTACATTTCTGAATACGCGCTGCGGCATACCCAAAACAAAGCTTGTATACCATCCTTATTTCATATGGCTTAAGACAATGCATCAAAGCATGCAGGTTCACATATGTAGAAAACGTAATACTTCAATTCGAAAGATAGTTACACCCGTGGGTGCGCTAAAGATGCTTAGAGCATGAACTAAAAGTTCAAGCAACATTTTTAGGATGGGTCAGTCCGGCATCCTATTATCTCCAAGCAATATCTGCCCATGTGCGGATGTGAACAGACCATCATTGACTATGAGACTAAGTCAAACATCCAACACAAACTAGTCTCACATGCATTAACGATATCCTACTCTCGTTAAAACTCGACTATGGACATTCAGATAAATATTTATTTCAAGATGTTAGTCTCATCAGCAGAAAAACATTATCTAATAAACATCTTTAAATATAAATCTAGAAATATAGTATTTGTTTACATTAGCATGAGATGTGTAAACATATTATATCTACCTATACGTGATAGAATAAAGATAAAACAGTTGGCCATTAGGGCACAACTCCAACAGTATGTAACCATTGCAAACAAAGAATGATAGGGGGTGGTAGTAGTGGGACCACTCACTTGAAAAAACACATTGCGAGGTGCACATCTAGAAAAGAGAGGAGTGATGTGCAATAAGTTCTCCAATTTGGAAAAAGTGTTTTGAATGATGATGCTAAAATTGTCAATTTTAAGTCTGATCAGAAGATGAGTCGAATGGACTATGCTAGAGCTTTAATAAAACACAAATATCCATTCAACATGGCTGAGCATGAGTATTTTAAAATTTTTGTCAACAATTTAAACCCAGAATTTAAGTTGGTTTCTCGAAATACTGTAAGGGCGGATGTGATTAATGTTTACAAAGAAGAAAAAGAAAAGATGTATAAGGTGTTGGAAGATGTGAATGGAAGGATAAGTGTCACCACTGATTTATGGACTTCAGACCATCAGAATATTGCATATGCTTGTTTGACATCTCATTTTATTGATGAACATTGGGTGTTGAAAAACATATTTTGTCATTCAAGTCTATTCCATATCCCCATGATGGCGAATCTTTATTTAGATTTATTTCAGATATATTATTGGAGTGGAATATTGACAAGAGGTTGTCATCTATTGCTGTTGATAATTCAACATCTAATGATTCAATGGTTAAATATTTAAAATCTTGGCTCTTGGATAAACCATTGCTCCATTTGAGAGGTGAATTATTTCATGTTAGATGTAGTGCACATATTCTAAATTTGGTTGTGCAAGATGGATTAAGTGTTGTTGCAGGGTTGCTTCAGAAAATTAGAAATACCATCAAATACTTGAAAAAGTCTCCCTTTGCAAACCAAAAGTTTGAGAGTGCAATTGTTCAATGTAAGTTGAAAAACAAGAAAAGAACTTGTTTGGATGTTGCTAACAGATGGAATTCGACTTTTCTGTTGTTGGAGGCATGTTTGCCTTTAAAGGATGCTTATTGTCGTTTAGAGCAGTTAGACAAAAACTACAAGCATAATCCTTCAAAAGATGATTAGAAAGTTGCTAGCATTATTCATGGGTGTTTAAAAAAGTTCTATGATGCCACATGTCATTTTAGTGGTAGTAAGTTTCTTGATACAAATGTGTTCTCTTGAGATATATGCAGCCTTAGTTTAAAGTTGAGGCAATGGGAGAATAGTGAGAATAGTGAGTATGACTTCATTCAAAAAATGGCAGGTCTATGCGGGCTAAATATGAAAAGTATTGGGATGAATGTTCATTGGTGTTGGCAATTGCCGTCGTCCTTGATCCAAGGTATGAGTTGGCTTTAGTGGAGTTTTCCTACAATGCACTTCATGGGACAGGTAAACAAAGTCACTTGGATAGGATTTCTAATGCAATAGAAGAGTTATTTGTTGATTATGGGGGTGATTTATATCCTTCTGATAGTATGAATGATGTATCTGTTGAAACATTGGGCAACAAATTAGCAGATGTGGTGGATGAAGATGACATGGCTTCATTTGACAATTGGTACAAAGAGTCTTCTCTAAATCCTATTGTTCCAAAAAAATCTGAGTTGGAAATATATTTGGATGAGCCCGTAATTTCTAGGAAAGAAGATTTTCAAATATTACTTTGGTGGAAAGCAAACAGTCCTAAATTTCCAATTCTATCCAAAATTGCCCGTGATGTACTTACAATTCCAGCGACAACTGTGACATCCGAATCAGCATTCAGTGTGGGAGGAAGGGTGATTGATGAGACTCGAGCATCTTTGCTTCCGGAAGTTGTAGAAACATTAGTAGCAACAGGAGTTTGGTTACCATCAAAGAAGAAAAATGGTAAAATCACTATTAACTTTTATTTTTTGTTAAAATATGACAATTGTGAGATTTCGAAGTTGATTTTTTTGTTTCTTATCTTAGACTTAGAAGAACATGAAGACTAGGGTGATGTAATGATGCATGAGATGGTATTTTGGTAAGATTATTTTAATTTACAACTTCTAGAAGGGCTCAAGTTTTGTATATTCTAGAATTGATGCATGCATGTTTGTCTTTTTTCTAAATTTTGTGGCATCATTCTTAATTGATTAGCTATGTTCAATGAATCTAGATAAATTTAGATGTTGAGAATATTTCAAAATTTATGCTTATAATTTTAGGGAGCGTCTAAAATGACATCAGTTACTTATACACCAGTTGCTTACACCAGTTCGTTTGGGGTACCTACGGTGCTCCGTTTGTAAAAACGACGGTTCCTAGCCCCCCTAACCCTCCCCCTTAACCCCCCACCCCAGCCCCACCCTTGAGACTACCGTCGTTTTTACAAACGGAGCACCGTAGGTACCACAAACGAACTGGTGTAAGCAAATGACACCAGTAGCACTGGTGTCATTTTAGACTTACCGATAATTTTATTATTACTTTTTGTGTTTTTGTTGCAGGTTTTTTATAAAAAAGGCTGATTGTAGATTATAAGTCTTCTAAATTTTTTGCTGCTGTTTCATGTGCATCTTTACTTAAAGGTTTCGTTTAAAACATTGTGTAAAAACTTGAGAGCTCTGATACTCTTTTGTTTTGTGCTCTCTTTCTATTTCATAAAGTTGAAATGTTTTTATTCCAGTTATTTGCTTTTTTACTTCTCATGTTCCACATGAATTTCCTTCATATTTTTCTCTCATTCGAGTTGTTTCATATTTTTTTACACTAACTTGATTTTAAAATACGTCAATTTTTATCATGGGTATACCCGACCTGATACCGAGACCTAATGAGTCCAAATCTAGGATTAGACTTCAAGACCCATAAGGTAAATGAGTACGAGTCAGGATCAATATTTTTTTAAATAGTATAGAAATAGAATCGGACCAACTGGAACCCGACCATCTACAAGGAATGAGGGAACAAATGGTGTAGGCAGTACTTGGTATGTGACTACCGCCGCATCGTGAAGTTGCCCTGTAGGGGTGCGAGTGTCGGATCTTCTCTCTAGTCAAGTTCATCACACCATCCATCTAAAAAAGGCTTCCATCAACTCCTACCCTATTGACTTCAATCACTGCCGGAGAAAGCTCCACTCCGACCCCGAAGCCTTTGTGCATCTCCAGCCAGGCGTGCTTTCTCCTACACGCGATTTCTCCCAAAGGTTTGCCCCGTACGTGCTTTATAGATACTAGGTTTTCGCCTTATAGGGGGCGCAGTCGAGTCTCCAAAGACAAAAGTCTTAATTCCAAATCCCAAAGTGTCTATCCACTACCTAAACGTCTTTCCCCTGAGTAACCAGTTCTCCAAATGTGTAAATGACCGTTTGGCATCTGGATCCAGGGAACAAATTGAATTTGTCTAAAACTTTAGACTTGTATAGTTCCTTACCATCGGTTCTATTTACTGAGTGTATCATATTTTATTTTATTTTATTTGCCTATCCAATGGTTTGGTAATTGCTATTGTAGATTTCGAGACATGTCAGTACAATTGACTCCTTCTAAGAGACCACATGATCAAAGCATTACGGAAACAAATGAAAGAGGGAATTGGAAAAAATCAGCTGGTTTAGGATCAGAGAGATCTCCATTGAAGTCATCTTCTGAAACCAAATTAATTCGTATCCTATGTCATATTTCAAGAATCAGTTCGATCGTGGGAGAAGATGGCAGCACTCTTCCTGAAATAGGTCAGGCAACTGGTGCGGATGTCCATGTTGAGGATGCTGTCCCTGGATGCAATGAGAGAGTGGTTGTTATTTTAAGTTCGGGGAATAAAAATGAAGCTGGATCAGAGAAGCACAAGATCAAAATCAAGGAAACAGATTCAAAGGATTATAAAAGTGAGATGAATGTGAATGATAGAATTGGTCAAAACAAACAGTCTGATCAGGTTGATGATTCCAAATTGAAAAACAAAGTTTCAAGTGTTCAGGAAGCTTTGGTGTTTTTATTTGAAAGAATGGCTAGTGAAGATTTGGACAAGGATATGGAAGATGAAGACAAGAAAGGTTGTTCATCTTTAACTGTAAGATTTCTCATATTAAGCAGCCAAGTGAACTGCTTGTTGGGGAAAGGTGGTAGTGTATTAACGCAGCTGTCCTCAGAGAGTGGGGCTGATATAAGCATTCTTCCCAGGGACAAACTGCCTGGTTGTGCTTCTTCTTCTGATGAACTTGTTCAGGTGATTCCCCCCTCCCCCGCTCAGGTTTTATATAAAATAAGGTTACATTCACATAGAACTCCTGAGAGCAGCATTTAATAGTAATACCTTTTTGTCCCATAAAAGAGTTGTTTCTATTTTCTAAGGGAGAATTTTTTTAAATACTAGCACGGCACAATTATTATGGCATCAGACATAGGTATTTTTTCAGTTTATTTGTTGGTTTTAGTAAATTTATTGCAGTCAACTTGTTTGTTTTTTTAGGAAATAACAACTGAGAGAATGCCACAATACTAAAGTAGGGTCAGGGAGGGTGTGCCATAATGAGCTTGGGTTTTAAAATATGAGTCCTAAAAAAGGTATCTGAAGGCAATCTTTTTTCTGGATGGACCGAGTAATAGTACATCCATCCCCAAGAGTTTGTTTGAATTTTGACCATTTTATAATTAAAACAATACATTGAATGATATTATGGTTCTGGTTCAAGGTTCCATAAGCTTTGTCTTGCAAAATATTTCAAAAAAACTATTTTATCATAATATTTTCAAATTTATTATATCAGATAATAACAGTCAAACTTCACGTATGACATTGATAACAGTCAAACAAGACACTCATTGGGAAAAAGGGATTAATAAACAAAACTTTGGTTACATTTCCTTATCATTGGGAATCTGTGATAGAGTTGGTGAAATAGAATTTAAGATACTATAACATTATTTTTGAATAATTCTAGTGTTCGGTGTCACTTGAAGAATAGTTAAAATTATTACATATAGTCTTAGCTGCCATAGAGGTGTGGGTGTGAGTTGTAGTTTGGCAGTGGAGTGATATGATTTGAAGTAAGGTGGAAACCATGAAGAAGGCGTATATGAGGTACATGAACTGTAGTGATGAGGATAAGGCGGCTCTTCGAGTAGAGTTAAGATTGCTCGTAAAGAAGCTAAGTTAAAAGTTGCTAGGCCGAAGAATATAACTTTTAAACGCTTTTATAAGGACATAGAGGAGCATAACAATGATAAGAGGCTTTTCCAGCTAGCTAAGGCACGTGAGACGAAGGCTCGGGATCTGGATCATGTGAGATGTATGAACGGCAACGATGGCAGATTGTTGTTCGAGACGGCTGAGGTGGCCAACTGCCTGGGGAATATTATCAATGGCGCAAATGGCGCGCACCTCATCTCCGCCATTGGCGTTTTGCCTATCAAACGCCACAAAGTGGCCTGTGGCGGTCGACCTACCTATGGCAATGCCATTTGTGCGCCATCGCCATTCTTGCGCCATTTTTTTAAATTTTGACCTAAGCCAAATCCAATGAGGCCCGATTGAACTAGGGTTTGCGATTCATATGGAAAGAAAGATTGAGAATAAAGATAATCCGGATCTGCGGTTGGGATCGCGATCAACGGATTATCGGAAAAAGAAATACTTCCAATTTCTCTTTTGGGGTCCAAGTTTTATTGGTCTCAACTTTCTTTTAGTTTTTTTTGCCATAATTTTTTCTGCTTCTCATATTTACTACATAAATATTTTAATATTTTTTTTGTTAAATTAAGTTATGTTTGTAGATCCCTTCAAAAAAACTTATTTTTGTAGATAAAAATATTTTAGATATTTAGGAATCAAGTTTTAAATATTATTTGACAATAAAACCTTACATTTTCTTTAATCAAAACATTTGTGTTCTACTCACTCTGTCCTAGTGTATTTGTCCAGTTTGATTTTTTCGAGTCAGATTGGGCAAACTTTGAGCTTCAATTTAATTAAAACCGTAATGTATTTTAACATAAAAATGACTTTATTAGTTTTGTCGTAATGAGAACTTTCAAAATTGTATTTCATTATACTAATATGCTATACACTAAGGTTGCGTTCCGTTCGCCTCATCTGGTTGGATTTGATCTGATTTGATTTTATCTGATCTGATATGGTCTAATCTGATCTGATCTGATTGGATCTGATCTGATATAAAATTGATTTAAATTAAAATTATTATTATTATAGTTATAATAATAGAAATAATAACAATAATAGAAATAATAATAATAATAGAAATAATAATAATAGTTATAAGAATAGTAATAATAAAAATAACTATAATAATAATAATACTAATAATAATAGTAATTATAATAAAAGAAATAGTAATAATAATAATAATAGAAATATTAATAATAATAATAGTTATAGCAATAATAATATCAGTAATAATAATAATAATAGTAATCATAATAATAATACTAATAATAATATTAATAATAATAGTAATAATAATAATAGTAATAATTATAGTAACAATAATAATAATAATAATTATAGTCATAATAATAATAGTAATAGTAATAATAATAAAAGTAATAATAATAATAATAGCATAAATAACAATAATAATAGTAATAAAAATAATAATTGTAATAACAATAGTAATAATAACAATAGTAAGAATAAAGATAATAGTAATAGTAATAATAATAGTAATAGTAATAATAATAGTAATAGTAATAATAATAGTAGTAATAATAATATTATTATTAATATTAATATTAATAGTAGTAATAATAATAATAATAGTAATGTTTAGATCTTGTCTGACCTGATGTGCTTTGATCTGATTGGATCTGATCTGGTCTAATTTGATCTGATTTGATTTTAATAAGAATAAGTAATAAGAAGAAAAACTAAGTTGAACGAAATGCTGTCTAATTAGAGTTTTAAGTTTATCGAATTTGACTCGAAAAAGTCAATTTGGACAAATACACTGGGACGGAGGTAGTATTGTTTTTTTGTGTTACGTTAATGTTTTCAAATGTGTATATATATGTGTGTGTGTGTGAGTGTGTGTATGTATGTATAAAGGCTATGGGTATTGCCGGTGCAAAGGAGGTGGCACACGTCATCCGCGGGATGAGAGTGGGAGAGCCTTGGATCCGGATGAGATTCTGATGGAACTTTAGAAGTATGTGCGCATCAATGGGTTGGTTTGGATAAACCAGCTCTTCAGTTTTATTTTTAAGATGGTATGAGTTAAGAGAGAGTGTATTGGTCCCCACTCCTTAATTGTAAGGGTGATATTCGAATTTCAAATCGCTTAGCCACACTATGAAGGTCTGGGAGTGTATCATAAAGTATAGGCTGCGGAAAGGGATGTGCATTTTCAAGAACTAGTTTGGGTTCATGCCTGGCAAATCGACCACAAAGGCAATTTATCTTCTATAGAGGTTGATAGAAGAGTATAGGGCTAAAAATAATGACCTTCATGTGTTTATTGACCTCGATCTGACATGGTGCTGAGAGAGATCTTGTGGAAGTGTCTTGTGTTAAAAGGGGTTTTGATCGCATACATTCGTGTTGAGAGATATGTAGGGGGGGCGGGGGAGGAGCACTATGGTAAAGATTATCAGAGGTAACTCTGAATCTTTCTCTATGGAGGTATGGAGGTGTGGTTACACTTTACACCAGGGGTCCGCCCTTGTCCCTTCTGGTTTGTTCTAGTGATGGACATCCTACTGTAGGGAGTTCAAGGGGAGATCATTTGGTTCATGTTTTTTGCTGACGGTATTATGCTGATTGACAACACTCGCGAGGAACTAAATGATAAGTTGGAGCTATGTTGCCTTTCCTTAGAACCCAAAGGTTTCAGACTGAGTATGACGAAGTCTAGCCGGGTGACAGAGTCAATGGAGGGAGTTAGGGCTGATTCTCACCCATTGCCCAAGTTAGACAAGTCTTGGTATCTTTGTTCGGTCATTAGGCAGATGGGGAGTTAGACTGGGGTAAAGTGCGGTTGGCTTCAAGGGTTCTATGTGATAAAAAGATCTCGGCTAGGATGAAATGTTTGTTTTATCGGCCAGAAAAACTATGTTGTATGGTGCGGAGTATTTTGCAGTTCAAAAAACACTTGTTCATCAGCTGCATGTTGTAGAGATGAATGAGTAGAAATACGAGGATAGATAGGATACAAAACGAGGTTATCCGAGGACGGGAAGGAGTGGCACCGGTGGAGGATAAGCTACAAGAAGCTTGGTTGAAGTGGTTTGGGCATGTGAGGCGGCAGAGTGTCGATGCCCCAATGCGGAGATGGGAGAGGCTTAAGGGGGTGGTGGGAGTAGGGGAAGGGGTTGCCCTAGGAAGAATTAAAATGAGATTATTCGACAAGACATAGGTCTTTTGGCCCTATTGAAGATATGACCTTATACAAGAACGTTTGGAGAGCTAGGATTAGGGTAGTTGGGTAGGCGTATTGGGCTTGGTTGGTGGCAGTCTGCTGCCTGCGCACATGTTAATGTGCTTCTTTATGCTTGGTGCTTTCTGCTTGTATTTTTCCCTCGTTAATCTTAGTTTGCTCTCTGCTTTTTTGTGCTATGTGGTTTCTTTGCTTTATGTGTCTTATGTGATCTTGTGCTATCTGTGTTACTTGAGCCCCTGGTCTCTTTGAAACAGCCTCCTTACTCTCGAGTAGGGGTTAGGTCTGCGCATACACACCTCTAGACATTACTCTCTGGGATCCAACTGCAGTGCTGTAGTCTTTGCATCGACAACAACACCTCATCCAGTGTAATCCCAACTTTGTTAGGGACTTGGGGTCTGGGTGGGGTTGTGGTCAAGATGTACACAATCTTACCCTCATTAAAAAAAGAGATGATGTTTCCATTATACCGGAGATGCATTTACTGCCCAACACTTAATAGAGAGTAAGGAGCAATGGAAGTTTAATTTGCCATTTTGATTTAGTCCATTATTTACGGGAGGCTAAAACATTGTAAAATATAATTTTCAGTCCATTGGCAATGGCTGCTGAAAGTGTTTGCATCGTGCTAAAAATTTCAGTTTTTGGAATGAGTTATGGTCAAATCCAAGGATGCTTCATAAATATACAGTAATTTCTTCTCTAACCCATATTTGTAATTTCTAAAATGAAGTCTTGTGAAATAAAAGCTTTATTTAAATTGAGTTCTCCTGCAACTTTTATGAAGCAAAAGTAAGCTGGAGTAATTTGCATATCGTAATATGCATTGGACATGTTTGAGCTAAGAAGTTTTGTGACACTTTTTTATTTTTTGAATTTCTTCAAATGTTTGTCATCGTGCTGGGTAGCTCCTAATTTCAGTAATTTGGTCTATTATTTTGTGATCATACTCAATTCATGTTTCTGGGCATTGATAGTCATTTAAGGTAACAATATGGTTTTAGAAATACAGAGTAATATGTAACTGTGTGTTGTTGCAGGTATCTGGGTCATATAATGCTCTTAAGAAAGCCATTGGATCTGTTAGTCAACAACTACTTGAGAGCAATCCTGAGGGTGAAGATACTTTTTCAGCAAATCCAAATGGCCCCTCTTCTCATTCAATTGGCCACCATTCATCTAGCCATGATTCACACCCTCGACCAAATTTTCCTTTTCTTGGACAGAGACCACCTTATTCTGATGGAAATCCTGATTGTGATGCCGGATTTCCTGGGCAAGCAAATCCTCCTCAGGATGCCTTAACTTTCCGATTACTTTGTCCTGATGAAAGGGTAGGGGGAATAATTGGAAAAGGAGGAAGCATTATCAAGACAATCCAACATGAGACTGGCTGCGAGATCCAAATTCTAGAAGGTGTAACTAAATCAGAAGATCGTATTATTGCCATATCTGGTCCGGCGGTATGATTTATTTAAGACTGCTGCTTTCTTTTTGTATTCTAATTAAAGGTTTTTCTATAAGCGATGTGGCTGGTGTGATTTTAGTATTAACAACTTAAACAACCAAAACGAAAAGTCAACATGAAACAATAAGCCTTTGTTTGGTAGGCAAGAAGTGTGGAAGAAAGAAATGGAAAGGAAAGAAATGTAGAAGTGGAGCATTTTACTGAGATGTTATTATTGGAGCATTTCCCTCGTTTCTTGAGAAGAGAAATTCGGTGGAAAGAAATTAAAGTCATGGGCACAACATTTTCATTTTGGTTTTTTTGTCTCTTATGCTCAGTAATAGGAGAGAAATGAAACTCCTAATTGATACCCATTGTTTTGTCAAACTTTCATGCGAATACGGAAGCACACGAACACCAAAGGACGGGATCTTGAAAACTAGGTAACTAGGTTTGGGTGCACACTACCTAGACTTCAAGAGCAAGAGAAAATATGGAAAAAAAGATGGAAACTTCATCAAGTTCTCTATTGATAATCCCCCAAGAATGTTGAAAAAAAATCGTGGAGTAGGACCAAATTCTTAAAAAGGAATAAACCACCAAAGATTGATAAAAAAACTCTGTTTTGAAGAACTTCGGCTATCATCATTAACAACAATGAATTAAGGCCTAAGGGTTATATAAGAGCCTAGCCAAAAGGAAGAATAGGGATAGGAATATGAGAAGCTACCCCTACTCCTATTAGGATTTGGAATCTTACTAAAACTAGAGATGAAGAAGAAAGGAAAGTTTCCTAATCCTGTCACACAGCTGAACTAAACAGTAAGTAAAATAGGAAATAAACTTTAGTTAACAAATACTCCCTCCGTCCTAAAATTAATTTCCCATTTGGCTTTTCACGGTCTCCAATGCGACACTTTGGCCATCAATATCTCAATTTTTATATAAATATATTTTATAAAAATTATATTTTTCAAAAATATATTCCAAAATAAATCTATTGCTAATAGATTTATATGAAAATTCAATGTATTTTTTACTTAATATACGGTCAAAGTTTAAAAAGTGTGACTGTAAAAGTCAAACTGAGAAGTTAATTTTAGGACGAAGGGAGTATATAAGTTGCCAAACTTAAGAATCTTGAAAACCTTGATTCTTCTTTCCCTTTTCTTCTTACCTCCCACATCACCTTTCATTTCCATCTAAGGATTAAATATCTAAATCTAGCCCTATTCTCTCCATACCAACAAGGATCTTTGGAGCCTGTTCTTTAGGGTTGGAAAAAAAGAGCCGGATCTTGGAAGAAACTGGAAAAACAGGAAGGAATTGGGAAAAAACTGAAAAAGTTATGGAAAAGGTAAAATAATGTGAGATAATGAATTGATGATATATTGATAAATGTGATATGATAAAGAAGCTATGGAAACATGGAATTTTAAATTTTATAAAAAAATAAATATAAATTTGATCCGAAAGGTATTCGAAATCAAAATATATCCAAACTAAAATGTATCCAAACGGGATGTTGGAAGAAACTGGAAAAAACTGTAAGAAACTGCAAAAGTTAGGAAAAAAGTTAAATAATGCGAGATAATGAACTGATGATATATTGATAAATGTGAAATGATAAAGGAGCTATTGAAACATGGAATTTTAAATTTTAAGAAAAAAATAAATATGAATTTGATCAGAAAGGTATTTGAAACCCAAATATATCCAAACTGAAATATATCCAAACCAAAAGATATCTGAAACTAATATCAATTTGAACTGATTTATATCTTAACAAATCTGAATCGATCCAAAACCAAACTGAAACCCAGAATTGTATGGAACCAAATTAAATCTGAACCAAAATTAAGCCGAACCTAGCCATTTAAAACACATATCCGATTGATAGCCAAACCAATTAAATCCGAACCAGAACCGATCCGATTGCCAGGTCTGTTTTAATATATGAAGCTCCTGGATCTTTGCTCTCATTTTCTTCACTTTAAGGTGAAGTTGGTTGAAATTACCTTGTGTTGTGATAACCGTATTCCAGAACTGTATTGGTACTGGAAAATAAACATTTGCATGTGTTTTATTCATTTATGCAGCATCCACAGGATAGGGTATCTCCTCCACAAGATGCACTGCTTCATGTGCAGTCCAGAATCTTTAGGGCTCTACCTGCAATTAAGGACAACTCAATGCTGGCAAGACTTCTTGTCTCTTCTAATCAAATTGGATGTCTTCTAGGCAAAGGCGGTTCTATTATTGCTGAAATGAGGAAGTCAACAGGTGCTTACATTCGGATTCTTGGGAAGGAACAAACACCGAAATGTGCTTCTGAGAATGAAGAAGTAGTTCAGGTGAGCAGGCATAGAGATGAGTATTGTCTGCTTTAGAGGGTTGCCAGTTTTAATATTTTAAGAAAATTATATAAGTGCAAGTTCATCCAATACCTCCTTAAGTTTTCTTGTACTGTATCAGATCTAATTTCAGCCTCTCTACTTTTGAGTAGGGTCAAGATCAGTGTACACACATCTCCCCAGACCCAACTCTTGTGGGATTCTACTGGGTTGTATAAGATCTTATTTCCAATGGAGACATTGTGAAGAAATAGGTATTTACTGGTAATGGACCCTAATTTTTCAATACTTTTGCAGGTAAATGGAGAATTTCAAAAAGTTCAAGAAGCCCTTTTTCAGATAACATCAAGATTGCAGGAGCATTTCTTTCGCAATGCATTTCCTCCTATGAATCAATTGTCAGCTGCTCACTTTCTGGATCATATGCCTCCTTTCCCTTCACACAACGGAAGGGGGGAACTTTCTCCACCAGGAATGTATCCAAGTATGGGCCCACCATCGTTTCACCGTTTTGATGCGATTGGAGGCTTGCCTCCACGTGGTGACTTCCATCCTCATGACGACCGTCCTCCCTTTATCTCTAACTTTCACAGGCCAGGTTTCCGCCCTCCCATTTCAGAAAGGATGCTATCATCTGGACCTTGGGTTCCACAGGTATCACTTCTCAAAAGTCAAAAGCATTAGAGTGAGAATGAACATCTTTATGTTCTAGTGAGTTACACAAACATAATATTATTACTCCATATTATTATCATTGTTATAATAATAATAGTAATAATAATAATAATAATTTTCATCATCATCATCATCAACATACATATGTATGCTAAAACTTTAGATAATCCGAGTAGTTATTACTCTCCCTGTCATAAAATTATCGTCTCATTTTGAACAATGTGCAAAATCCTATCTCTTTAAAACTATTTTGTTTACAAATTAGTATAGAAATAAAAAGTATTAATTTCCTATTTAAAAGCTACATCAAAAGTTCAACAAAACAAGAGGGGAATATTTTATTTTACCAAATGATCTACGAAAACATGCAAACAAACAAAAATTATTAAGAGGCTAAATTAGCAACTGTGATGATAATTTTGGGTCGGAGGGAGTATAATCCTTTTTTGCTTTCAACTGGAAACAGGGACCGATTGATGGTGGTGGTCCAACAGGCATGCCTGACTATACAGCAGGGCTGCAGAGAAGAATTGGTGGATTTGCCGGGTTTGTACTTATACACACACATAACTTGCTTACCTTTTTCTTCTTCTCCCTAATCTGATTCTTTAATATGAGAAAGTAACGTTTACAAGTTCAGGGGAAGTCCAGCTATAATCACTAATACCAAGGTGGAAGTGGTTGTTCCTCGTTCAGCTGTTCCAGAAATATATGGGGATGATGGGGGGTGTCTCAGACAAATATGTGAGGTGCATACACCCTTTGAAGCCATTGTTAATTCTGGTTTTGTTCTTCGCTTGTATTTCTTCTGGCTGTCTCACTGATTTTGATTTATTTGACTTCCTTCTTCGCTACTTGCTAGATATCTGATGCAAAAGTTACCATTAATGATCCCAAGCCGGGAGCAACAGAGACTATGATTATTATATCTGGAACCCCTGAGCAAACAAACGCTGCACAGTCTCTTATTCAAGCATTTGTGATGCTTGATTCTCAAGCATGATAAATTCTTGTGTGCATCAAGGTAATAATATGTTGTTGATCTGCGCAAGTTTTAGGCTATACATATTCTTTTGCTTGATTATAATTCTCCTTACATTATAATCTTTGTTGAATAACAAGTAATTTGTTGCCATGATAGTTCTAGCAGAGCTGAATAACAAGAAATTTGCTGGCTTAAAACCTGAAAGGTGGAAATGAGGATGCTTTTGAATAGTAATATTTAGTCGAATATGATGAATTGCCAGGAAGGGGATGGATGGAGGGTGTAGAATCAGGCTGTAGTTTGTCCCACAACTCTTCACTAAACATCTAACATATTATCGTTCTCTAGATTTTTCTATGGAGCCCAAGATTAGTGACCATTTTGTTTGAGGAATTTGTACCCCAAAACTGTATTTTGATGATGATCGTATGACACCCTTTCCCCCCCCCTCTGCGTTTGTGTATGAGCAATATTGGTAGGGATACAATTACTCATAGTAGGCTCTTATCAATACCATTTGACGCTTACATGATAAATTTAGCACTGTCGACATTTCATGAAGAACAACACTACATGCAGCAGACTGAGGGCTTGTTTTCTATAACGTATCTGATTGGTTCTGATATGATTCGATTAAGTTCTGATTTGATCCGATTGTAGTTATAAAAATGAAACTTACATATTTAAAAACTACATCAAAAGTTCAATAAATAAGTGATGACAAGGAAAAATATAAATAAATAAAAGTTCTCGTGAAATTGGAATAGTGGATTGCGAAAAAAGATATGGGACAAAGAGAGTAAGTAAGAAGAATAAGTTTAGGAGGACAAGCTACGGTAGGAAAACAAAACTACATTGTTGCTGCTGTTTTAGTTACCGTAGTATTTGCTACTGATCATTGGGGGTTGAAAGGCTTGCAAGTCTTGACATCAAATCAGATGCAACCCCTTGAATTTATCCAGCACCAGCGACAAGCAAAAACCTTTCACTGTGTTTTCAGCCATACAGCCATTCCAATCGGAATGAGAACTTAAGATTTTTTGTTTTTGCGATGTTCATCATGATTAGAAATAGCCAATCGGTCGTTTACGTCTGGTTCGGTCACTTTGGAGTTTGGATTCGAGTTACATTGCGATGAGTTTGGGTTTGGATTGAAAATCACATGTTCATGATTCAATATCATCGGATTAAGGTTATCCTAACGAGTTATGAGATTTATTTTTAGAATATATGATCCCATAAAAGAAATACGGTGGTTGAGTAAGAGAAAGAATATACTGAGCAATAAAAGAATATTCTAGAAATCCATCCTTTCGAGGTAATCTTTTTTGAGAGGAAAAAATTAACACTGCCAAAAACAGATATTGACAACTGTTTTTTAGGAGTCTCCTTATTTTAGTAGTCTTCTGAGCAGCAGTGTGATAGATTGACAGACTTTTGTTGAAAAAATGATTGTATAAAGCGGTTGACGACATTGGTTTTCTGAGGTTTTAGAGTACATGTTTTTGGTGTTGTCCTCATAAGGCATCAGTTTTCTAGAGTTGAAGACAACTTTGTCTTTTCGTTGTCTATATCTAATGAATACTACTGTAGTTTTCTACTTCAGACTCTTGTTAGTTGATGTTGTCCTTCAAAACTCTAGACTTATGATATTAAAAGTAGTTGAAATATATCACACAGCTGCTCCGAAGACTAATAAACAAAGATAGCATCCGATAACTATTATCATTTGTTGTATTTAAAAGACATTCACTACTAAGTTTCTTGTAATTGGAAGTATTGTTTTTTGTCGCTGTCTAGCAATTATCAACACAACGGTGTTTTTTTGCAGTTTTTTTGCCGTTGTCTAGCGATTTTCGTTTAAGCGGAATTCTACTTCATTGTGTCTCATTTAATTTCACACACCCTGCTTAATTTTTTACTCTCTTTTAGTCTCGGTTACAATCCCTAGTTTGGTTGAATTGAACCTTTGGCTATGCTACAGTACCAAGGGAAAATTCACCAACCATGCTAGGGGTACACCAAAAAGATGCATTGGTAAATTTACGGTTCACACTGGCATAAAATGCTAGTGTAATAAAAGAATTTACACTAATATTTTGTATAATTGTAAACCATTATACTAGCATAAAATGTTAGCGCATGTTTTTGGTATACAAAATGAAATATAGTTTTTTGGGTACAAATAGTTTAATTCAAAATTCACACATTCCATCACCGTCGCCACCTTAGGCTACGCCACAGTACCAAGAAGTGCCTCGGCCTTTTCAACTTTGACTAAGTTTTAAGGGGAGGGGCAAGCGTCGATACTACTCCCTACGTCCATAAATAAAGTTCCTGTTGTGTGTTACGATTTTGACTGAATTTATTTTCAAATCATTTTATATGAAAAATGGTATGTAATTAAAAAATAAAAATAACATATTGAAAAACTACATGAAAAGATCTACAAAACTAGATGTGACATTACTATATTATTTGTAACACCCTAATCCGTCCAGGTCTGCAACCCCTTTTGGACTAAAGTATTAACTTGGTAACGTAAAAATTTCAAACATTTAAAAACTTTATTTCAACAATTTTGCTAAATATTTCATAATAACATCGGAGTAAAATTATTTAAAATAGTGCGGAAGCGATTTGCAAACTACAACAGTATGGTCAACCATGTGACAAAATTCATTTACCTAAATAGTAGATTTGTGTACGTCCACACATCACCTCCATCTCAGTAATCTCCAGAATAGGCTCCGCATTTATTCTCTCTCAAACCTACGTGTAGAAAGATGAAAAAGTCTACACGTTCAGCAATGAAGCTGAGTGGTACCATGGCACAACAAAAGAATTCACAGAATAATTTCTTAAACAATACCAATCACATATATATGTTCAAATATTCGCCTTTTCATTTTTAAATCCGTCTTTGTTTTTTTAACAATGATAATGAATATAGTCAATCTTAATAATCATCATTCAAACTTATATATAGGAACCACTTCATAGTTCACAATAATCACATGTAATTTTTGTCACCACAATATTCATTATTTGTCACACATAATTTCATATCAAGTTTTATCACATATTGCTCTTAACTTACTCTAAGATAATGCCAAATCATAACAATGCTCTTAAAATACTCTTAGTCTAAGGTCAAATTCATATTGATAACATAGCTCTTAAACTATAATTAGTCTAAGACAATATTTCTAACCGAGCTCTTAAACTATAAATAGTTTAAGGTAGAACACAAGAATCGATAATCCACCCTACGAGTCATGTGGATTACGTACCAACCAAACTGTGAACTGTCAGGCGAGTGATATCCGGTCTGGATCCCGTACGTATGTTTTAACCCCAAATTATGAATTGGTCAAGGAGGTATATCTTAGAATTCTTCTAGACATCCTTAATAATCATCATCAATTTCCAAATGGGTATATCTTAGAGTTCTTCTAGATATCCTTAACAATACACATCATTTTCATAATTATCAATATATTCATTTTTAATCATGATTCAATCATTCATAATTATTATTTTAATCAGAATATTCATCAAAGTTTGATCATAAACAACATCAATAATAATCATCATAATATCCAATAACAAATAGCGGCCTAGCATCGAGTATTAACACCCTAGCTTACCATCATACACCAAACAATGTTCTTTATTTGTCAAAAACATCTTATTTAATTATAAAAATCTTTTCCATATTGATCATAATCGAATTTTATCAAAAATAGGATTTTATAGTTTCAAAAACAACATTTTTTAAAGACAAAAATATTCGTAACGATTGATCGTTGGGTTTGAACGGTCAACCGTACTATCCTTGAAAAATTCTCGTCGTACGGTACATGGAGACGGTATCTTGATACCGTGACACGGTACCTTGGTACCATTGAAACGACATGTAGCTATCGTATACGCGCAAGAGAGACGCGATCACTATTCATCATCTTCAACCTTCGGTCCAATTTCTCAAAACACCATTTAAGCTTTAAACTAACTTCATGAAAATGTTTTCTAATGTCCATAGATCATTCACAAACAATGTATTTGAAGCTTTAACAACAAAACAAATTTGGTGATTGTGAATATCAAAATATTTATGTTTCCAAATATATATGAATCACTAAGTTCAAAGATGATTTTAATGCCTTCTAAAGTTGTTTAAAATCATGGTACAGACCTGGAAATCAATGAGATGAAGCTCAACGAACCAACGGGATCGAAAAGAACGTCGGAAATCTCAAAACTCGTTACTTCCCGTCACCATTGTACCAGCCCTGGTTTTTGGGTCATATCTCCTTCGTTACTCAACAAAATCGCAAACCGTTTGAAGCTACGCATTCGTAAGACATAAGGCTACAACTTGTGTTTAGAAACCAGATTAAAATAACGAAGTTTAGATGGTGTAAAAAGGCTCACAAGTGGGATGATTTGCACAGATGTTTTATTCATTCAACTTTTCGGGGCAACTTCCGGCAAGAATCGTGGCTACCTCCAGCAACTACGTTGACGATGATCACTTGCGGTCTATTCTATATACTCTAACGAAGCTATATGAACTGGAATGGATAAATTTGGTGTAGGAACGAAGAAGAATGGAGCTCTCCATTATAGATGAAGAGAAGAAGAAGAACAGGTAAGTGGTCTCTTTAGAATCATTCTTTGTGCGATTTTGAGCAGCTACGTGTGATTTTGGAGAAGTTTAGACGTCTCCTCCTGATTGGGACTAAAATGATCCCAATCAGGGTACACTTTTTGTTCCAACTTTCTCCAAATTGAAATTTGATTGTACCGTTACGATGAGACAGTCAAGTTCTATGCGACAATATGATTTTTCACATTTTTTGAAATACTTTTTTTGACACCATACTTTTGGGTGTTGACTTTGACAGAGTCAAAATTGAGTTAATTGATATATAATTAAAATTAGCCTCATATTCAATCAATATTATTAAATTTAAATATTTATTTCAATAAATCATTTTATAAAAGTTCACATCTTTGATCACTTCTCATTTTTATGCAAATGACATATTTAAAATGTCATAACTGAAAATCTGTAAATCAGATTTATTAATAAAATATATCATTGGATTCGTCTCTTCGAGACCTATCCATAAAAGTCAATCTTAACAAAAAATCACTGACTCCAAAAATTTCTTCGTTTTTGGTCAAACATAGAAATAATATTTTGTTAGGTTAAATATTGTTTCAAAAATACTTTTATTATAGAATAACTTTTAGAACATGTTTTGGATCAAAAGAAACCGAACAAGACAAAACCACGAAGTAGCAACCTACAATCATCAACTAAAAAGCCAAAATAAGATCAGGGACTTTTAGAAGACAGAGTAAAGCGATCCAAGAAGAGACTCACACAAGGAATGTCCAAATTCTTCACACAAATCAAAGCTTTTGTGCACGCCAGGATTGTTGCTTAAATCAGTCAATAATTATGGATTCGCAATTGAAAAAGATCATGCCCCGATCAATAGGAAAACATGAACAGTGCTTTAGTTACAATGCTATATGCACTATGAACAATTTTCACGAGTTGATTTCAGCTAGGAACTCCAACAAATCATCCTTACAAGCATGGCTTAAAGCAAAGCAAAATACCAAGAATGTATACATAACATGCGGTCTCTATTGTGCAGCAGAATAATCGACACACAGAATGAATGCAGGCTTTGGGTGTTTTGCTCTACCAGGTCCTCTTCCTCACTTCTGTGTTTGCTCTACCTTAGCCCTTATCTTCTGTTCCAACACAGACATTTCAATGTCGAGGTTGAACATCCTGTTTAGTGCGTTCATGTTGTCCAGGGTCTCGCTCAATGTCCGGCTGTCAGTCCCATCACACCTCAGGTGTTGCATCGGACCGTGAAGAATCTTGTTTACTATTCCCCTGCTCAGATCATCTATCGCCTTCCTCGTCTTCTTTGTGACGTCGTCTCCCATTTTCGACAAGCATTTCTCAAGCTCGGCCACTCTGATCCTTTCCGCATAAGCTCGCAGCTTCTTGATGGTGGGGACCGTCTCCAGTGAGTCCCGCCAAGCTTCAAACTGTTGTGATTCTTCTGAAATGATTGCTTGGGCATCCGTTGCTTTTCGGAGGCGGTCTTCCTTGTTTGCAGCAACAACCTCCTTGAGGTCGTCCACGTTGTATACCCGTGAGGTCTCCAGCTCATCCACACAAGCACCCACATTCCTGGGAACCGAGATGTCAACGAATAGCCTTAATCCCCCAACACTAGGGCTTACCGGTGGAAGACCAAGCACGTGGTCTTTGAGAAACAATGGTGTTTCTGAGGCAGTGCTGGTGAAGACTACATCTGCATCCGAGGCACAATCGTACATCTCTTCTAGAGGCTTGTACGTTATCTCAATATCTTTTGTCATCTCCTCCTGGATCGCAGCAACTCTAGCCTCGCTTCTATTAACAACCACCATTTTCGTACAGCCCTTGGCTACCAAGTGCTTGATAACCAGCTTCCCCATCTTTCCTGCACCAATAACCAACATCCTAGCACTTGCTTGTGATGATTCAGGAAGCTTCATCAATGCCAACTCAACAGCAGCTGAACTAACGGAAACAGCACCTGCGGCAATGTTTGTTTCACTTCTCACTCTCTTTCCCACAGTGATGGCATGTTTGAACAGTCCGCTGATATTCCTCCCAAAGCCGGTCACCCCCTGGCCAACCTTGACAACTTGCTTCACCTGTGCAAGGATTTGACCTTCTCCCAAAACCAATGAGTCCAGCCCGGCCGATACCTCAAAGAGGTGCTGAGTGGCATCTTTGTTGTAAAGCAAGAAACGGTGCTTGCAAATGTCAGGGACTGGGACTCCACTTTTCTGTCAAAGGAAAAAAAAGGAAAAAGAAATTGGATTCCGCTTGCATGTATGTAAGATGAAAAGCGGGAGGAGTAGCTCACCTAATTAAGAGTTGAAGATGAAGGTTAATTTGTAGACATGGATTTGGTTGAAATTGCATGGAAACATTAGTTGTTCATTAGGATAAAAGTACTTCTTGTAATAGAAGAAGAGGGTCACTACTGGGCAGAAATACAAAACATGTGGCTTATTTCTCATCAAAATATATAAACGGTAATTGATTTTCAAATAATAGCTTATTATAAACCCTTGCTTGATTTAATAAAAAACCAAAGAAAACTAATGGCTTATTTGGAACTTAAGTTGAGCTATAAGCTCCCAAATAAGCTCTACCATACGTACATCATACTCATAAGAAAACACGATCCCCCCGAACCCCTTACTTAAATTAGTTAGAGAAACTGGGCCAGAAAATTGGATACATATCCAACCTTCATGGGTGACAGGGGTAGGGAAATCACAATAGTTTTATTGTTATAAAAGCAGGCACACTCAATGTGACAAAAAAAATTCATGGTACAACGTCAAAAGGCTAGAGAGGGAAAACATACCTTTGACATCCATTCAGTCACTTCTTTTACACCCCGATGCTGAGAAAGAGCAACAACATATATCTCCATCCTGTTACAGGTACTAAGAATGGCAGCTTCTTCAATATGATTCAAATTACAGAGCTCGTCAATGGCTCGAGACCACTCTGCTTCAGGAATAGCTAGCTTTTCACGCATTTCAACAGGTGAGGTGTGGATACTGAGACCAATAACAACAACACTACATCTTTCCTTAGTGTATCCTGTATCATATTATGTGTTTGATGTATAAAGCTATCAGTTGCCATGAGTTTGAGACGATGGTTCAATCATGTATGAAAATAGATACAAAACACCTTGATGCTGAAATTTACAGAATTGGGAAGAATATTTGTAAGGGGTATCAGGAAGCTGTTATCATTGTTAATTTCAGTGATGCTGCTTTTATACACCAGACATTTTTGTCCTTGTCTTTTTTAGCTATTTGTTTTCCACTTGTATTAGAGGCAATGTCTATGTCCTCTTCATCTAGTAATTTTCTTTCCGTAACAAATAAATGTTTTCTTTTTTCAAAGAAAACAACCAATAATACGGAGTAATAAAAACATTCCCCTCCCTGTATGTTAAAACATAAAACTAATGAATAAGGCCTGCAGAACGCATTGTCCTTAAGCAGAGATTTTGTGTGTGTTTGGGCTGGGTCTCTAGTACAATCACCACACCAACTGTTTTGGCCTATTCAAGGTCTGGGGATTGAGGTGGATATGTGGAAAAGTCACCCCTTATGCATTCCCCACACACAGTAGGTCCAATTATAATCACCATGTTTATGAAAACAGCAATTGTGAAGAAAAAGTTTAACGATACCAGTATGCAAACCAAACACTGTAATAACAGCAGACACAGAAAAAATCATTCAAAATCAGAACATAGATAAACAGAATGAAAAGAGAACGAAAACTTAAAAGGTGGATCATCCGATTTACGGACTACCATTAAAGAATGATGGCCATGCCCCACTGTTTGTGACAAAGGATGGCAGTCCAGTGTCTCGCTCCCAGGATAAGGTGACTCAGAAGCAGTGGCGTCGTTTTTGCTTACTTGGTTTTACTCTGATTGGCCTCAGAACCGGAGTAGATGCCCAGATATAAAGACAAAAATGGAGTACTGCTCTTTCCGTCTAGGGAAATGAAAGTAACACGGAAGTTCTAACTTTGGATTGGAAATCAGATATATGAAGGAAGACTGGAAGAGTAGTAAGAAGTTTGCAAAAAGTGGGAGAGTGAGAGTTATATCCGCACCACGCTTACTGATAAATTGACTAGCTCAAATGTTTATTATGTTTAGGAGTTTAATGAACCAAATTTATTTTTCCCAGAAAGAAGTTGCTCCTCAACTCAAACACAAATGCACAGGATTCAAGATTTAAGCCACTTAGCATGTAATTTGAAAAATGTTCCTTCTCATATGCGTACTTAAATAAAAGGAAAAAAGGGTCTGCGACATTCATTAAGGGGAAATAATAAAGGCTCGTGGATATGTCACTTCATCTCCCCTCAGCCATGGATTGTGTCCATTAATTGGACGTAATCCGAATACAAAAAACTAAAACACTTCAAAAAATATAATTATTCTACTTAAATCATTTAGGCTCATACGTGAGGCCCACTAATATTTAAATTATCATCATATTTCCATCAATCCCACAAATCCATAGTAGGAAGTTCAACTCTTATTATCATACTGTGCATTCAAAGATGGTGCCTTCCGGTTTGAACAATTTTCTAAGCAATAACCTAAACCCCCATAGAAAGTGACGGAGCAGAGTTCTTGAACTTCAACCTTAAATGTGGTAGTGTGGGATGACAACAACAGACTAAGAACAATGACAACAGTCCATAGGGTTGACATGTTAAATGTTACGGCAATGTGTGCCGATGTCTCAAGAATGTTTTCATGAAATAAACCATTAGTCTTTAATAGCGCCCGCAAAATCGCATTCTCATAGTTGGCCATCTCTAGTAGTGCATTGTCACTACACTTCTTTAATCCCACTCACAGTCTTAAACTCTTCCTAACTACCCAATCAACAGCTACCAGGTTTGTCCAAAAAATAAGCATATACATTAAAGAGTGTAACTTGAGTTTTAGATGCTCAGATTACTCTATAGTTTGTAAATACAACATTGAACCTGCTTTGTGAAATCTCCACTCACATAGTTTGGGTTGCAACCTCATGTGAACCAATTATGAGTTTCAGACTCAGTATTAAGCTGGTATATATATATATATATATATATATATATATATATATATATATATATATATATATATATATATATATATATATATATATATATATATATATATATATATATATATATATATATAATCCCAAAGTCTTTCAAATATTCAAAGTACTTATCTTCTAGAGAAACATTTTCCACAAAGAACATTTCTCATAAAAATATTTTCCACAACATATCTTTAGATCCCCAAACCGAGCCATAGTACCATATCTGTTTCTTATGCTAGACAACAAAAGAAAGAAAGCAGCATCATGATTCTATGTCATTCTTGCTTCAATATGCTCTGCAAGTGAAGACTCATATGACATAACTAAATTACATGATAACACTAATTGCAAAACAATGAAATTTGGGGTGAAATCGAATAAAAGAACAAGTGGCAATGAAAACCGGCAATCAATCCCAAACACAGCTAATTATTCGGGTAATCACAGAGGATAAAAAACATACTGTCACCAGCAGATGTCTTGAGCAGCTCGAGAGCAGAGAGGCTGGAGGCTGAGGGTTCTGAAACATTTTGAGACTGAGCCACGCCATTCGAGACCTGGCAACGGAGTCCCAAATCCAACGAATCCCTATGAAGCGAGCAGCCGCTTGCTGTTGGAAATGGCTTCCAGAAGACCCCAAATGAAGCAGGAGTCGCAGCCACGGCGTTGCTGACGACCAGTTTGGTAGATAAAAATGCGCTTGAGACCGCCATTCACCGCGTCAAGAACGATGTGCTTCCAAAAAACGCGCCGTGGGTTTGGATTTGACCGAGAAGATTGGTGGTGGGCTGTAGGAGAGGCGTGTGGCGATCAATGGCCGATGGAAGTGGTTTGGTTGGTCATTTGGTATGCGGAGAAATTCGAGTGCGTGGGCGAGTTTTACCAATGCCGAGTCAGTCAAGAAGCTCTGTCAGATTGAGATTACTTTGGGTTCTGATTGGCCAGCAATGAAACGTTTTATCCACACTTTTTATAGCAAAACTAATCTCGCTTAGAGAATGGCTTGAAATTGTCGGAATTTGCCGTTGAAAAAGCGCGCAAAAACAAATGACGACATACTCCCATAGTCCCATCTCTCCAAATAATTTTTTTTCATTTTATTTGGGTGACTTGTAAATAATATTAGTATTTTAACTCATGTCATGCACGCGTGGAATAAAATTTTATTATATTCTATAATACTTGAAAAACATTCTTTTTTTGGATTCTGACTTTTAAAGTTTTTTTGTTGAGAGAAATTTTTTTTGTAATTACTCGAGTGTTCTTTTTCTACGAACAAGGCAAAGAACTATTCTCACATCATCCCCCTCCCCCGAAAGCATATAGAACGGAGTTCTATAATAGAGATTTGATACTGATTGTGTGTGAAAATAATACAATAATATCATCTCTAATTTTATAAAACTTTTGATCTTGTTTTTGAATATATATTTTTTATTATTTCATTTTACATGAATTATCATATAAAATTAATTAAAACTAATTTCATTCAAACATCATAATGGAAGAAAATATGTACATGAAGAGATTATTTATTAAAAAATTTCATACAGTAATAAAATTTCAATATAATTAATTAGAATTTGGTACTTTAAATTCTTAAAAATATTTTTTAAAACAATTTTTCAATAATTCGAGAAAATAACATAATTTATAGATATTTTGATGTAGTATGATTGAATATATAATTGATATCACTATATTATTCTACTAAAAAATATTTAAACACCAAAGTTCATGTGTAATTTTTAAGATTAATTCAATTCGGGCAAAATAATTGTAAATGATACATTTGAATTAATATTTTTTTTAAAAAGTAATTATCATTTTAGAAAAATGAATAAAAGGAAAGGAAGAAAACAATTGAAAATAGAAGAATTAAAAAAAGGAAATAAGTATTTAATTTTTTGGAATCCAGATTTGTTTTTAATTTTTTTGACATGCAAAGTTTTTTTTATTTGTCTCCTGGCACGTCACATATTACTTGTCAAAAAGTGACACCACAGCCACCACATGTCACGCCTCAAGTCCGCCAAATATCGTGTTCCTGCAAATTAGAGTTTTCTTTTTATACATTAAGGATTAAGGATAATGATATAGTATTTTAACCCGTGTGATACATTTCAGTTAAGCGATTTTTTTCCTATAATTTATCTTAAGTTTTTCTATGGCTTTGTTATTTTGCACTTTAACTTTTAATATCTGTTTTGTTGGGAGAAAAATATTTTTCTAAAAATCCAAGTCTCATTTCCTATGTTTGGTTACATAAGTGGTATGAACTTTATTGGATTTATCGTATAGAGAACTTTCAAAATTGTATTTCATTATGCTAATATGCAATATAAATTGAGAGTAATTAGAGTTTAAAGTCTGTCCAGTTTGACTCGAAAGAGTCAAACTGGACAAATAAACTAGGACGGAGGTAGTATATGTTAATCCTTATATTAAAACACTATTAAAAAAAATAGACTAAATTTTAAAATGATCAAATATTTAAGTCAAATAATTTAAAAAGGAATTATTTTACGTGCTTATATTATTTTACATCCAAAAAACTAAAAAAATCAAATTGGTATTCACTTATTAAAAAATCAAATAATTTAAAAAGGAAAAATTAACTTCATCGCAATTGTAGTATTAGAAAATAAAGCCTTACAGAAGGTTTACATGCACAACATAAATGAATTATATTCTGTGTATCATTTCATACAAGATTAGTCTTGAAGTTTCAAAGAATATAATTTTCAATAGCTTATGTTTCGTTATGACTTATGATTATAAAAAAAGTTAATGTCAAATGTTGGCATTAATGATATTATATTTTTACCAAATTGGTATTCACTTATTAATAAATTTATACTATTATTTCACAAGTGAGAGTAAAAATAAAGTTGAAATTATTAATTTTACATTTCTTTGGCAATCTTTATAACTTCACAAAAAAATTTGTATACCTCAACATTTTTCAAAATATTATAATTTAAATAAGACTTTGAAATGTTAATTTTTAAGTGTATATAGTAGAATTTTCATTAGAGAATTCTATATGTTTTATGTTGTTTGATATTTGAAAAATTTTGTCACGATGAAATATAACAAAAAAAAATAATCTTCCACCCCGTGCATGGCACGGGTCAAAATAATACTCCCTCCGTCCACAAATAAACTTTACGTTCACTATTCATAAGGTCAAACTTTATTCAATTTGTTGGCCTATTTTCGTCACCCATTTGATAAAATAATATAGTCATGTCACCTCTAGTTTTGTAGATCTTTTGATATAGTTTTTTAATATGTAATTTTTATTTTTCAATTCTACAACATTTTTCATATAAAATGATTTGAAAATAACTTTAGCCAAACATCGTAACGCGCAATGTAAAAATTATTTGTGGACGGAGGGAGTTGTATATATATGTAAAATAGAGTTTAGTTGTTGTAGTGTTGACATGTGGCATGCCACATGTGCATCCACATGTGCACCCATTTATGAAATGGATATATGCATTGCACCTATTTTAAATATCTTTTAATACATTTGTATAAATTTTTTCATTTTTTAAAAATTCTAAAAATATATATTTTACCATTGTAAAATAATTCCATATTTTGAATACACACACACACACATAAAATTATTTTTATATTATCCACAACTTATTTTAGTTTATTACTTCTCAAAAAATGATTGTATAAATTTAATCACATGTGCATATTTATTAATTAAATCTTTTGTTTCAAAAGTTTTATCTTACTACATTATTTATTTTATTGCTACATATATTTTGCAACCAAGTGAATAGAATAAAGTTGGTTTAATTAAAGGGTGACAACTGACAAGTGACATTATGAGAAATATACATTGTCTAATGATGTATCATTATGCATGTAACTAATCCACTTTTTATTATAATATTTTATTAATTCAAACCATTTATACTATTAGTACTTAATTCAATGACCATTAATTTTGTATAACTTTTTTGTTTTTAAATTAACATACCAATATGTATTCCATCAGTCTAAAACATATTTTTCATTATTAGAAAACTAAAACAACTAAAATTATATTTATATATAGAATCTCAAAAGTTTAGAATATATACGAGCCCGTGCAATGCACGGGATAAACACTAATAGTTAATAATGTTATAAAAGTAAACTATAGAATAACAAAAATTACATAAGGAAAGAATTCCTTAAATCATCAGGTAAAACTTATTTAATTAAGGCAGAAATTTGGATTTAATCGTAAATAAAACTTATATTTAAATTATGTTTAAACTTATATTTTTATAACTTCAATTCATAACTATAAAACTTCACTTTAAATAAGGCAAAAAATTGGATTTAATCGTAAATAATACTTATATTTAAATTAAAGTACCACCCTAAATTAGATTTAGAGCATGTTCTTTATTAGGACTAAAAAAAGAGCTGGATGTTAAAAGAAACTGGAACAAACTGGAAGAAACTAGAAAAAATTGGAAGGAACGGGAAGAAACTCGAAGGAACTGACTTAATATTACTAGGGATTTTAAATGTGGTCTCACCTATGATATGTGCCGCGGAGATACACTAGCGAACATCATTCAAGCATACATTCAAACATACATGTATAATGAATAAAACGTGACATGGTTGTGGCCTCCTAAATGTTGGACATGAGTTCAAACCTCCTTATTATTTTTTTTGGATTATTTTTTGTTTTGATGAATGACAAACAGGATGATTAAATTCAATCAATATTTGAAAATTTATTCGGAACGAGAAAAGCAGAGAAGGGCATCAAGAAGTTTCGGCGATAATTCACGCTCACCCCTACGCAGTTTTTTTGAAGTGAAGCGAAGACTCCGAAGACTTTTTATTTTTATTGAGTCTAGGAATTTTTTTGTAAGGATGACAATATCTTCTGCACAAAACAATTTAATTTCTGAGGGATAAAAATTATTTTTGAGTCAGTTGAAAAATCACTTTTCCTCTGTCTAAAATATTTTTGTGAGTCAGTTTCAAAATTAGTGTGTCAAAATTTCGTTAAAACATTTTTAAGATTACACAATTTTCTTTGGTGAGAAAAATATACTTTAAATATTTTTTCGTGTATTGTTTGACACACAAAATAATTTCTTGGACTCTCTTTTTCTCTCCCCTACTCAAATTCATTGAATAGGGAGATATAATCCTTGGAGCGTGCCTTGTTATTCTCGTTGTCCCAAACAACGAGTTAGAAGCCAAAGTGCTTCCAATCGCACTTGGCTTGGGCCCTTTGTGTTTGCGCATTATTTTTCATTTTAATCGATTATATTCTTTAAGATAATCGATTAGATCCAGCGCAA